AGATTATTATTTTTTTTTATTTTATTATTTTTCTTTTTCATCTTTGATTTTTTGAGACAGGGTTTCTCTGCGTAACAGCTCTGGCTGTCCTAGAACTCACTCTGTAGACCAGGCTGGCCTCAAACTCACAGAGATCCGCCTGCCTCTACTTCCCGAGGGCTAGGATGGTGGTGGTAGCAGATTTTGAGTGTCAGAATTCTACCGATTCTCCCCCATCCCAATTTTAAGTAGACATAGGCCCCTGGGAATATTATTAGACGTGTCATAGGGGATCCTTGGAAACCTAAGCTATCTCTTTCTTCTGGGGCCTTCGTTTCCCAATAGGCAGATGAGAAACTGGAATCCCAACACCTCAGCTTTATTCCATTGCAGGGTGCGGGGGTGGGGGGAGAGGGGAAGTTCCTCTGTTCTTAGGCCAACATAACCAGCACAGAAGACTTCTGTGACCTCAAAAGATTCGGGGGCCAGGCATAGTGGCACATGCCTTTAATCCCAGCACTCAGGAAGCATAGGCAGAAGGATATCTGTGAATTTGGGCCAGCCTGGTCTACAAAGCAAGTTTCAGGCTATCTGGGACTGTGCAGTGAGTTCTACCTGGGCACCCAGCCCACTCTTCCATTTCATTCTGATGTGTCTACCTACTAATGTCAGATCCTACTGGTTGAGGTCTCCATCCTCAGAGACTGACCCCGGCCTTCAGACACTAGTCACAGCCTTACCTATGCTTCTGCCCAGCCAGCTCCTAATGTGGCAGGGCTCTGTTGACTTGTAAGAGTGACTCAAACAACTTGGGCAAGCACTGAGGCTCCAGAGGCATCGGGAGAGGTCGGGGAGGAGCACAGGGCTTCTGCACCTTCCCATCATCCTCCAGGAACCTCCATGTGCCAGCAGGCTGGAAGATCTCTAAACGCTGTGCTCTGGGAGTCTTAGGGGGCTTCAGTACACAGGCATGATTGAATGACTCTTTAGCCATTGGGGACCAGCTCAGTGGGTTAGAGGACGTAGCTGGAAAATCCCAACAAGACTTGGTCTCTCCTGTGACCAGAGTCCATCTTGAAACCACCTATGTGCTCTTGGCATCAGTCAGCTCATGAACACACAAAAGGAGACCAGTTTGGCAACTGCAAGGATATTAGGACTTCTGTCAAAAAACTTGGAAGACTGTAGTAGTTACAAAAAAAACTATTGAAAGAAACTTGAGAGGCTGGAGAGATGGCCAGTGGGTAATAGGACCTGCTGTGCAGTCCTGAGGACCTTATAATGTGGCTGGGCATAGCCAAGCAGACATCTGCAACCATAGAACTCTGGGGGACCAGAGACAGGAGGATGGCTGGGCCTTGCTGGCCACCAGCCTAGCTCCAGGTTCAGTGAGAGACCTTGCCTCAAGAGAACAAGGAGTAATAGAGCGGAACATTCGACATCATAACTTCACCCTCTGCCCTCCATGCTTGGACCATAGTCACACACATATATGAAATGAAAGCAGGAGAGGAAAGACATTTAAGGGAGGGAGGGTTCACTTCGGCTCAGCTTGAAGGTACCGTCTGTCATGGCGGGGAAGGCATGGCGGCGGGGGAGATGTGGCGGCAGGAGCTTGGGGCAGCATTGGCTCCACCATCAGAAAGCAGAGATGAATGTTTATGCTCAGTTCACTTTCTCCTTCTTATTCAGTCCAGGACCCCAGCCCAGGGAATTCTACTGACCACATATGGGGTGGGCCTTTTCATCTCAACCTAGTAACATCCTCACAGACATGCACAGGGGTGTGTTTCCATGGTGATTTTAACTACCATCAGGTTGCCAGTGGAAATTAGCCATCGCAAGAGACCGAGTATGTTTTTCAGAACCACAGTCACCAAGTGGGGGAGCCAAAAATCGCAGTACCGAGAACAGGTCGGCACAGTAAAGTGAAGGTCCGGGGTGTGGGGGTAGGAAGTTCTTTTCACTGCGGTCTAGTTAGTGTGACTCAGAGGTTGAGAACGGTGTGAATGAGCCTACGCTCCGCAGCAGCTGTCAAGCACTGATGTCATCCACTGTCGTCCCATTTGTCCCAAGAGTTCCCAACTTGACAGCTCACCAGCTACTTGGGTTGTTCTGTCCTGTTCTGATTCATCCCCTGGGGTCCTCTCCAAGGATCTCGTGCTGTGAAAAGGGCACCCCAGCAAGACTGTTCCCATCCCCAAGAGTCACAGTGACTTAGCCCTGGTAGTATGCAAACCACTAGCGCCCCCTCCAGGTGGGATGGGGCATAATCTATAACTGCCCTGTGAGGGGTGGCACTTGTCATGAAAGGTTCTTGCTGCAGCCCCCGAGAGTCCTGTTCTACAAGCACTTAATACCAGCCTGATGAGCCGCTCGCTGGAAATTGTCAAGAGCTCTCACTGACATCCCGAGATACTGCTTACTGGTTTATTGGAGCAGAGTGCTGTCTGCATGGGAGAAAGAGGAGTCTTAGAACAGCAAGATGGGCGAGGCATTCTACCCTGAGAGAGCAGGAGACTTGGGAGCGCAGCAGGAAGCAGTTGTCAGAGCAGTTAAACCTCGAGATTGATGTGAGCTGCAGAAAATGGTATGGCCAGCAGAAAGCACACTGCAGCATACATGAGGTCCTCAGGCCCTTCGCAGGACTCCTGTGGCCATGGAGGGAGGTTCAGTGGGTAGCAGCGTTTGAAAACACCCATCCTCATCCTGTTCTCCCTGAGGGATATCCCAAAGTCAACCGAGTTTCCGTAGGAGAGCTCCCCATCACGAAGTGTAAAAGCAGTTCCATTGGCAGTTCCTTCAAATTGCCTTTGGCCTCCTCCTCCTTCTCCTCCTCCTCCTCCTCTTCCTCCTTCTCTTCCTTTTCTTCCTCCTCTTCCTCCTCCTCCTTCTCCACACAGTTGAGTTAGCAGCAATCAGTTCTTCCTCCAAGGCTGATTCTCAAGCTCGGCACTGTAGTTTTGCCCAGTGCCGGCACATGAAAACTTACTACGGATGCTTCTGCCTAAATCTTTTTGTTCAAAAAAAAAAAAATCATTGGTCTCTCCTTCACTATAAGTCACAGGCTAGGAACGAGGGTGATCTGAACAGTGGCCACGGCTGCAGGAGGGAGACCCTGGCTCTTCCCACCTTCCTGAACAGCCTTGTTCCCCTCAAGCTAGAGGCTTTGAATACTGAGGCAAAGCCATGCCTCAGCTATCGCCAGATACTTCCACCCCATTCATCTCCCTCGCACTCAGAAATAAACACCAATAAAACTCGTCTGTGTGCCAAGCAACCTCGGCAGCCTCCTGTGGCATCCTCTGGTTTGAATAGGAGAAAAGTAAACCCTAAGCTGTCCAGCGGCTCAGTCGGGGTGGAGCCACACAGAGAGCCCGGTCTCGTGACACCTAGCGCGGTTCTGCCCCGCCACGGTATCCTGGTATCCGTGTCTGCTGACCTTGGAGGCAGTGTGCTGAATATATATGGAGGTGACAGATGCCAAATGAGGAAGCAAAGAGGAGCTGATGTTAAAGATTGAAGTGGCAGAGGCACCCTGATGCCTTTGCTGCTCCATAGCGCTTCTGCGGAGTCTACGCTAATGGTTGCACAAGTTAGTCCATAAACGGAACTCAGTCCTTCTCTTTTCTTTCTAATTTACTTATTTTATGCATATGAATGTTTTGCCTGCAAGTATGTATGTGTACCTTGTGTGTGCCTGGTGCCCAAGGAAGTCAGAAGAGGGCTTCAGATCCCCTGGGACTAGAGTTTGGGATGCTTGAGAACCACCATGTGGGTGCTGAGACTCAAACCTGGGTTGTCTGCAAGAGCAGTGAGTGCCCTTAACCACCGAGCCATCTCTCCGGCCCCTTTTCCTTCCTGCAGGTTCTACTTCACTTTGGGGTTGATCTGTAGGCAGTAACATAATTTATAGCCATAGGTAAGCCAGACTCGAGGATAAACGAGAGGAAAGACGGCGGAAATCGCCTACTTCTTCCTAGCTTGTCTCTCATGGAAAACCAATTCCGCATGACTGCTAGTATTTCAGAGTAAATGTCAGGGAAGGAAAATGGCAAGAGAAGAGAGCTTCTCTACTAAGGCCAAAAAAATGAAAATAAATAAAAGCTGTGTGTTGGTGTGTTGGTCTAGTGAGACGGAGTTTCCTGCTTCTCCAGGGGTACAGCTGAAAGAAGTGTACAGCTCAAACTGTCTTTTTGGTAGCTCAGTTAGCCTTGACCTCTTGTTTCTCCTGCCTCAGCTCCTGAGTGCTGGGATTGTGTGCCCTCGTGCTCTGCTCAGTATCAGGTCTTTCCTTTAGTTCATGCCTTTTAACATGTAGCAGCAGTACAAAAGAACAGACCCCAAAGGCCAGGCAGTGGTGGTGCACACCTTTAATCCCAGCACTTGGGAGGCAGGGGCAGGTGGATCTCTGTGAGTTCGAGGCCAGCCTGGGCTACAGAGTGAGTTCCAGGAAAGGCACAAAGCTACACAGAGAAACCCTGTCTTGGAAGAAGAAAAAAAAATGCAATCCTCCTTTTCCTTTTTCTTTTCTTTTCTTTTTTTTTTTTAAATTCTTCATTGCTGAACAGTGAGATTTAAACCCAGGCCTGGTCCATGCTGCCCAAGTGCTCCATCTCTGGGCACACACACACACACAGCCCATTTGGACAGTTTGAGACTGTCTCAGTGCCCTGACATGGCCTTGAACTTTGGTTTGGGTTTTGGCACAGGCTCTCACGGTGTAGCCCTGCTGCCCTCAAAGGCTTGAGTCTCCTTCCTCACCAGCTGAAATTACAGGTGTGCACCCCCACAGCTGACCTCCTTTTCTCAAATATGACCCAAATACAGTTGCAGAGTTTTGAGTGGTTGAGCCCCCGTCTGGAGAAAGGTAAAAATGGAGGCATCTGTGCAGCCCTAACCTGCCATCTTTCTCCTCTCAGTGACCATGCAGCAAGTGGCCAGGACAGTGGCGAAGGTGGAACTCTCAGACCATGTGTGTGACGTGGTGTTTGCACTCTTTGACTGTGACGGTGAGTGGGGTCCTGCGGAGGGTAGAGGGTAGGCCAGACCTCGCTCTGTTACTAGACCATGTATAGCGGGGCTGTTGTATGTGTAGCAGCTTGGCCCTTAGCACTGTGAGCTTAAAAGATGCCACCCTGGGCCGTGTTTGTGTTTTCTACTTCTCTGGGTTTTGGTTTGGTTTTTGTTGTTGTTGTTTTATTGAGACGGGCTGTTACTATGTGTCCTGGCTGACCTGGGACTCACTATGTAGACCAGGCTGGTCTCAAACTCAGTGATCCACCTGCCTCTGCCTCCCTCCCAAGTGCTGGCATTAAAGGAGTGTACCACCACACCCAGTACGTTTTCCATTTCCTCTAATTCCATCTTGCCTGTGGGCTTAAATTAGTGACCACATGACTGTCCAAATGACAACAGGAGCCACATTTGTAAGAGGGCTTGAAGCTGTGTTTTCCCAAATTGCAAGCCTGATGATCCCCAAAGAAACGTAATTTTCCCTGGAAAATAAACAAAAATATTAGACACACACATTACACAATTTGCTGCTAGTAGATGAGGGGCACATGTTTCGATGTCCCTAGAAACAAGATGGTGTGACTTTGTCCTTACAGAACGTAGTTGATGCCAGGACTTGTGTTGAAAAGAGAGAGAAAAAGAATGGGCTGGGCTCAGCAGGGAAGCATGCTTGCTGCTCTTGCCGAGGACCAGGGTTCAGTTCCCAGCACCCACAGAGCGGCTCACAGTCATCTGTAACCCCAGTTCCAGGAGATCCATCACCCGACTACCTCGGGCACCCGGCATGCACGTAGTGCGCATCCATGCAGGCAGACACTCATGCACATAGAATTTTTAAAATTAAAGGAAAGGATAGAGTCTCATCCAGCTTGGGGAGGCTGTATAAACCCAGATCAGTAAAGGACCCAGGGCCAAGGCTAAGGAAGAGTAGGATGGACAGTTAAAGGGCAGCGGGAACACCTTCCAGATGTCCACACCCCAAGGAGTCCTAATTACTTGCTGCTTAAAGTTCTCCGAACCACCCTGCTCCCCTGCACCACAGCACCCTCTGTTTGCCCCATGCTCACACTTACCTCACCACTGATGTCACGTGTCTCTCCCGCAACCTGGGAGTGATCCAAGGACCATCACACAAAGCTTAGCTGTTCTCACGCAGGACCCGATTTCTGCTCTGGTCTCAGTGGGCTGCAGCTGGAAACATCAAGGGAGGACAGAGCAGTTCACCCTAAGCCAAGAGAGTTGAACTTGGCAGAATGTGTACCAGCCACAGAGCCCGCAGGGTGTGAGGGGTGGCGTTTTCTCCCGGAGTTTCTACTTACACCTCTGTTTTTCCTCACCCTCCAGGCAATGGGGAGCTGAGCAATAAGGAGTTTGTTTCCATCATGAAGCAGCGGCTGATGAGAGGCCTGGAGAAGCCCAAGGACATGGGCTTCACCCGTCTCATGCAGGCTATGTGGAAATGTGCACAAGAAACCGCATGGGACTTTGCTCTGCCCAAATAGTGTCCCTCTTCCTACACCCTAGCACCCTGGACCCCTGGAGTGGCCCTTCATGCTGCTTCTGCTGCTTCTGGGAGTAGTACCCCCTCCCATCTTTCTGGGAGTGACCTCTGGGCTCCAAGGGCTTCCCTCTCCGCCCTTCCCGGGACCAGTCAGTGTTCTGCTAGGCTCCAAGTCTGCAGTCAGATCAAAGGTTCTAAAAAAAACATGGCCAAGTCTTAAAAGTGGAGACCTTTGCTCCTTTAACAAGTGCCCTGTGGATAAGGAATGCAGGGAGCCCTCCCGGCTCGATCGCTGTGGATTTATATTAAGAACGTCCTCTGCTCTCCCTCCTCCTGCAGTTTCTAAGCTGCAAGTTTGGAAATACTCTGGCAGGCAGGAGGAAGTCTGTGATGAATGATAATGAAGGCGACCCGGGCACCCTGAGCTGGCAGGAGGCCTGGTCGGAGGATCCGTGGCAGACACAGGCAGCTCCCGGAAGGCTTGTGCTCCCAGCAGAATTCCAGATTCAAAGGGGCTGCCTCGTGGTCCTCTCCGCTCCCTTGTGTTCCTCCCAGGCTCCCTGTGACGCCTCCTCTGGGACTCCGCTTCCCCAGCAGCAATGGCTGAGTACCTGTTAGTGTCTCCTCCCCTCTCTGTGGGCCTGCGGAGCCCAGACCCCGCTCAGAGCCCATCTGCCCACTGTCTAAAACACTCGTAAAATATCACTTTAATTACAACAGTTTGCAGTAAATACCCCCGAGAGCGCTTGTGTCCTTTCTTTTAGACCTTTCCTCTGGGCCCTTCGTTTTGTCCCCACCAAAGGCCGTGGCTTCCTCATCACAAGCAACTTGAGGCAGGACAAAAAGTGAGGGTGCTCCGACATTAAGGTGGCATTGTCCCAGCCCAGTTGGAGTAATATTTCGTTTGGGGCTGGAGTACACACTCCCAGACAAGAAATGTATTTGAGGATAGCCCGTGAGCATCCTGCATGGTGGACCTGCATTTTGATATCCAAAGCAACATTGTCCTCTGGTAGACTCAGCTCTACCACTCACTCGGGGTGGTATCGAACTAGTCATCCCCATCTGTTCTCTCAGCTGCTGAATGACAGGCTGAGCTGCATGGGCCCGAAGTTCCTTCCCATGAGCCTCTGTTTCAGCTCTCCAGAACCTCCAGGTCTGCCTCAGTGTGGCACTCCACCCTACCTCAGAACACGACCAGGGGTGAGAGAGCTGGGGCCTCTGTCTTTACCTGCACAGGAAAGCAGAAGTGGGCATCTCCCCCAGGGCCCCCCTTCCGGGAGGCCAGCTTCACCCTCCACAGAGTCAGCGGCTTCCTGCCTCCTAGGCGCCCTGTCCACTCTGTCCTGCCTGGTGTCTAAGTGCAGGCTTTGCGGTGCTGTTGCTCTAAGCCCAAGGCATCAGCGCAGTCTAAGTATTTCTTAAATTTGTCCCAGAGCCGGGCGGTGGTGGCGCACGCCTTTAATCCCAGCACTCGGGAGGCAGAGCCAGGCGGATCTCTGTGAGTTCAAGGCCAGCCTGGACTACCAAGTGAGTTCCAGGAGAGGCGCAAAGCTACACAGAGAAACCCTGTCTCGAAAAACCAAAAAAAAAAAAAAAAAAAAAAAAAATATCTATACAAAAAAAAAAAAATTGTCCCAGAATCCATGTTCACCCTTTCCTGTGGTCCATTCTCCAGGAGAAGTCCATCCCCAACCTCAGCGGGGTTCAGTGTGATTCAAGTGGATTCAGTGTGATCCAAGGAGATGAGAGATCCTAGAGACTGTTGCTAAGCAGAGGGGACTTGAGAATGTACCCTGTATTTTTAAGTTATTTTAATTGCCTCCGGTGCCCCGCCTACTTTGAGCTACGGCTGAAGCACACACTCTAGAAAAAGGAGAGACGTGGACAACGGCTGCAGCCACACAGGGAAAAGGGGACCCCATGGGCCCAGGAGCTGGTGCTACGGCTCTGCGCCCTCTGCAAGCCTTGCACAGACCAAGCCCCTGGGAGCCATGAGACGCCTCAGGAAAGTCAGGCAGCGGCTGAGGCCGGCTCAGCTGCGGGCTTCCAGTGCCACCTGCTGGGCAGAATGGCTCAGTGCAGGCAGTCTCGTGCTTGCCAGCGGGGATTGGAAGGCACAAGGCAGGGCAGAAGGAACCATAAAGAAAGGATCCAACTGCAGTTGAGAGAGGGAAAAATATTAGTGTATTGGTCTCTGGCTTGAGAACATGAAGGGTGATGAGTAGACGTGTGTTGTTCGCGCTGTTCTGTGTCACTGTTCTGTGTCACCTTCACTGATCAGCCGCTGTGGGCCAGGCGTTCTGAGCCGTGTCTTGGAGGAGCTTGCATCCTAGAGAGAAAAACAGGAAGCAGCAGCAGGTTCCGAAGGCCAGAGAAGCAGGCTGGCCATCTCACACCCAATGCTCATACCAATGCTCACACCCAACCTGTGCATTCACCTCAGGCCTGCAGAAGAAGTGCGATTTGGGTTTGTTTGTTTGTTGTTGTTTTAAATAGACCCGTGAGTCTATTTAAATAGACTGTTTTAAACAGGCCTAGATGTTCCAAAGATTGAGAAGCAATAGGGCTGAGCAGAAACTGAGCATGCAGAGCTCCACAAACCAGGTCCATCCTGGAAACTGGAGTCTAGGGTTCCTAGCTTGGATTAGGGAGTGATTTTGAATTACGGTAGGGAGCCAAGTGTGGTAGCACATGTCTGTGATCCCAGAGCTGGTGGTGGGGGTGGGAGGTGGCTTGAGACAAGAGGACCTCTTTGAGTTCAAAGCCAACCTGGCCTAGATAATGAAACTTTGTCTCCAGCAAAAGAGAAGGCATGAAGACAGTGGTCACAGAAAGTAACTTAGAAGCAATCGTGATGAACATTTGAGATTGGGAGTATCGCTCAGTGGTAGAACTTAGGTCAGCATTCCTGAGGCCCGGGTTCAACCATGAGCATACCCCAGTGCTCAGAACTGAATATAATGTTGGGTGTGCCACATATGGAGGCAGTGGGAAGCTCACTGATATGCGTGGTGTCCTGGGTTTGGTTTGCAGCACCATGAAAAAGGATACAACTAAAGGGAAATTAAGAAACTTCCTTTCTTAGGCTGGACATGGGTTCTAGAACAGCCAGAGCTATTTAGAGAGACCCCCCATCTCAAATAAATGAGTAAACAGGAAGTTCTGTTCTTGCTTGCAGAAGACAGGCTGACAATACACTAAGCACCTGCCTCAACAGATTAGGAGACAGGGAGAAAAATCACAGGACTAGGGAGGTGGCCTAGTGGATAAAATGCTCGCCACACAGGCCCGACAACCTGAGTTGGAGTTTGGATCCTCAGAGCACAAAGCAGAAGAAACTCTAATTCCAGACGAGTCTCTACAGGGGGTTGTGGGGTGGAGACGGAAGAATCCTGCACAGCTCAGGGGCCAGTTCTCTTGGCATATGTAGCAAGGAACAGGAGAGCCCCTATCTCAAGGTGGCAAGCAAGGGTTCACACCCAAGATTTTCCTTTGACATCCACATACAGGTTCTAGAGTTTGTGCTTGAGCACACAGACCCACAAAAAGTAACACAAATTTAAAGAACCTTGGGGTCATAGGCATGTGCCATCATACCTAGTTTTATATAGTGCCAGGGGCTGAACCGTAGCTTCATGCATGCTAGACAAGCACTCTACCAATTGACCTACATCCCCCATCCCCGGTATTAGGAATTTTTAAATGCATAAAATTACCGGTAATCAGCAGCTTAAAAAATAAGTATCATGAGCAACTCTGTGGCAATAAATTTGAAATTACTGTTTCCCAGAAGATATCTTACCAGATGGACATAAGGGGGAAATCTAAGTGGCCTAGCCACAATAAATTTAATCCATAAAAATTACAACAGAAAGTGCCAAACATTGGGGCTGGAGAGATGGCTCAGCAATTAAGAGCACTGACTGCTCTTCCAGAGGTCCTGAGTTTAATTCCCAGCACCCACATGGTGGCTCATAACCATCTGTAATTGTCAAATCTGGAATCTGATGCCCTTTCCTGGTGTGCAAATGTACAGATAAAACATTCATATGCATAAAGTACATAAATAAATTTTTTTTAAAGTGCTAAACACAGGCGGCCTCATAGGGGGAGAAATAGGACCATCTAATCCCCAGGAAGAAGTTAGGACAGAAAGGAATATAGAGCAATGCTTTTCTAAGTACAGAATTTCTGTTTTGTATGATGGAAAAGTCCCCCAAACGGACAGTAGTATCAGGTCATATCATGAATGTAATAAATCAATACAATTAATGTAATTAATGAATATCATAAATATAGTTATTGAATGAAAAAAGAAGTTAGGACAGCAATATTATTAATAATTAGGAGCCACTGAGGACTTTAAGTGGGAAAATACTGTAATGAACTCTACGTTAATTATACTGATTTTTTTCAGTGCTAAGGTTGGAACCCATCGCCTTATGCATACACCAGCCAAGCACTGTACTGCAGCCTGCACTCCCAGAGCCCAGCCCTGAATTTTTGAACGGCCAGCTTTCTTGAGATGCATGAGTGGGCTTCAGAGGGATCCACAGTGAGTCTTCAGGGCCCCTAGAAGCCTGAATCAGGCTGCAGAGCTAGAAGGCAATTAGCAGGTTTAGGAGAAGGTGAGATCACAGAGTCATTTGACTGGAGAAGGGAAGAGTGTGGGAGCCCGTTTTCAGGTTCCTCCTGGCTTTACCCTGTAGATCTGCATAGAGGATGATTAGGGCCACTGGCCTGAGTGCAGGTGTCTGGGATGGTCTGCACTTGGCTGTGCTGGGGGAGGAGGTCTTTTGCTCCACCCCTTGGCGTCTCTATAAATACCCTGGGGCAGAGACAGTCGGGGCCGTTGGAATAGGTTCCAGGCCCTCTCGAGGCTATCCTGTATTCTCTGTTTATCTCCACAATCTAAATCCTTCTATCTAATATTTCCTGCTGCTCGCACTCAAGAAAACTCTGGGGAGCTGTGGGGTTGGTGGGTAAACGCCCTGCAGAAAAGCTCCTGGAGCATGTAACTTGGAGAGTAGCTAGGTTGTCAGTCACTTAGGATGAAACCAGACTTGTGATTAGGTAACACAGTGGTGTGGTTGCTCTCCGTGGCCCTGCAAAGCTGAGAGAGGAGTCGGGATTAGGCAGAAGATGAGCCATTTTTCAGACTGTGGAGGATGGGGCTGGATAGGGGGCTCAGCAGTTCAGAACATTTGTTCTCGAGGAGGATCCAGGTTCTGTTCCCAGCAGCTACATGGCAGCTGTCTAGAACTATAGTTACAGGGGATCTAAAGCCCTCTTTTAAGTTCCAAGGACACCAGGGATGCATGTGGTGCACACATTTTTAAAAAACAAAATGTGGAGGTACCTGCAAGAGGGAAGCACTTATGAGGGCCCGACTCCAGGAAAAGTGTCAAGAATGGAGCTTTGGCTTAGGAGTCTCCCCCAAAATGATACACTCCCAATTCACCCACCCATTAACACATGAACTCTCCAGGGTCAGTTTCCAACTGTGAAATGCTGATAGCTGCTCCACGTCTCCCTCAAGGGAAGCCTGGATAGAGGTTGAAGCAAAAGGACTTTGAATTTAAAAATAATTGCACATGACGGGCCAGCCAGGAGAGAGGCCAAGTTTGATGGAAGGATGAATGACACATGACTGTCTCTCATCCAGAGAACGTGGGCCAGTGTGGAGCTTCAGAGGTGCCATGGGGATATATTCATGAGTCTACTCTACAAATAACTGATTTGCCAAGTGAGATGGCCTGTGCCTATAGTCCCAGCCCCCTGGGAGGGTAAAGCAGGAGTATCACAAGTTCGAGGCCAGCCTAGACTTGATAGCCTCCAAAAATACAGGATTTTTGTTTTTGCGAGTGTGCATACCTGAATGTGTACATGGGGCCAGAGGACAACAGCAGCTGTCTTCTTTGGTGTTCCACCATTTGTTAGAACTGTGTTTGCATGTGTCCCTGTGTGGGGAGATGCGCATGTGGCTACAGGTGCCCACAGAGGCCAGAAGAGGTCACTGACTCTCCTGGAGCTAAAGTTACAAGTGGTTGTAAGTCACCCAACATGGGTGCTGTGAATGAACTCTGGTCCTCCCAAAGTGCACACTGAACTGCTGAGCCATCTCTCCAGCCCCACATTCCACCTTTTTTTTTTTTTAATGAGACAGGCTTTCTCTGTGTAGCTCTGACTGTCCTAGAACTCGCTCTGTAGACCAGACTGGCCTTGAACTCACAGAGATCCACCTGCTTCTGCCTCCCAAGTGCTGGGATTAAAGGCGTGCGCCGCCGCTGCCACCACCACCACCACCACCACAGCCTGGCTTCACCTTATTTTTTGAGACAGTGTCTCTCACCGAATTTGGAGCTCATCATTCAGCTAGGCTGGCTGGCCAGCAAAGCACAGGGGGGCCCTGACTCCACCTCTCCATTGCTAAAAGGACAGGTGCACACCACTGTGCCAAGCAGCTCATGTGGACACCGGAGACCAGACTTCAGACCTCATTGCAAAGCGTGTTCCCAACTAAGCCACCTCTCCAGCCATGTCCCCAAACCTATTACATTTACTTTTTATTGGGGCCATAGAGACAGCTCAGCAGGTAAAGGCACTTGATGCCAAGCCTGTTGACCTCAGTTCGATCCCTGGGACCCATGTAATGGAAAAAGAACTGAATTTCAGAAATTCTCCTCTGGCTGTCACACGTGTTTCATGGCATGAGTGCCACCCCGCCTCCACACACACATACAAAACAAGGAAATGAAAAACTTCATCCCAGCACTCCGGAGGTAAAGTAGGCAGATCTCTGAGTTTGAGGCCGACTTGTCTACATATACATAGTGAGTACCAGGACTGCCAGGGATACATAGAGAGAACCTGTCTTGTGAGGAGTTTGGGGAGAATGTGGTAATGCACGCCTTTAATCCCAACACTTGGAAGGCAGAGGCAGGTGGATCTATGAATTCAAGGCCAGTCTGGGCTACAGAGTGAGTTACAGGCCAGCTAGAGTTACACAGAGAAATCCTGTCTTGGAAGAGAGGGGAAAAAGGGGGGGAGAGGGAGAGGGAGAGGGAGAGGGAGAGGGAGAGGGAGAGGGAGAGGGAGAGGGAGAGGGAGAGGGAGAGGGAGAGGGAGAGGGAGAGGGAGAGGGAGAGGGAGAGGGAGAGGGAGAGGGAGAGGGAGAGAGAGAGAGAGAGAGAGAGAGAGAGAGAGAGAGAGAGAGAGAGAATAGAAAAAAAAGTGTTGAAGCCCGAAGTGAAAATCCAGTTACCTCCCAGCCATTCATGCTCCTGAGTGAATTACGTTCATCACCTGCAGTGTGAAGTTTTCATTTTCTTTCCTTTTCTCTTTAGGGGTGTGAGGGTTGACCTGGGACTCTCATGAATGCTGGGCAATGGGTCCTCCTCGGACCCACACTGCCTCTCTGTAGCAGGAACCACTGTTGCAGGGCAGGGTGAAACTGAGCCTTGGTGGATTCGGAGCACAGACCTCTGTCCCCATTGCCACGGTTTCCTTCCCTGCCCTGTCTGCCTGCCTGCTAATGTACACTGTCGTTAAACAGAGTATTGAAGGTGAGATTCTGAGTCCCACAACTTTATGAAAGGAAATTCTTGGATAGAAATTGTCCCAACACCGGCTTGGTCTCCACGCTGTGGTGTGTGTTACTGAGGACCATGGGAGAATAGCTTACCAATGGGTGTCTGTCAGCACTGGTATGAATGAGCCTGTTTGTTTGTTTGTTTGTTTGTTTGTTTTTTCAAGACCGGGTTTGTCAGCTGGGCTGTGGTGGCACACACCTTTAATCCCAGCACTTAGGAAGCAGAGGCAGGGGGATCTCTGTGAGTTCCAGGCCAGCCTGGGCTACAGAGTGAGTTCCAGGAACAATGCCAATGCTACACAGAGAAACCCTGTCTCGGGGGGAGGGGGGGGGGACAGGGTTTCTCTGTGTAGCCCTGGCCATCCTGGAACTCGCTCTGTAGACCAGACTGGCCTGGAACTCACAGAGATCCACCTGCCTCTGCCTCTCGAGTGCTGGGATAAAGGCATGCACCACCACTGGAGGCCTGTTTGGAAAAAAGATCACTGAGGGCAGGCCTGTGACAAGTCAGTCTGTCTTTCCTTCCCTCTGGCCCTCCCTCTCCTTCCTGGATATCGTAAAGTGAAATGTTCACTGTACCACTGTCATGACGACACAGGCCCACAGCCACGGAGCAAGCCAACCACACAGACATCAGGAACCAAAGCAAGTCTGGTAGGCCCTGTGCTCGGGCCAGGAGGAAAATGGGGTTAAGGTCTCCCCCATCTTGGTTTGGCTGAAAGGAGGGTGTAAAGACTCACAGGAAGAGAACACCAACTGTGCAAGGCAGAGGAGGTGACTTCTAGATGGGACCCAGGCTTAAATGACAGAATTCGAAGCAGGGAGGGTTCTGGTCTGGGAGGAAGGAGGCACTCTCTCAGGCTCAGATGTCAGTCCCTGGAGTTTACACATAGTCCTGCTGTCATTCTCTGTCTGGGCTCCCTGAGGTCAGCGGCTACCCTTCTTCATGCTGCATCTCGGGACCCCTAAAGCTCTGGCCTCCAGAGCAGACATGTGACGACTAAATTACATGTGTCACTTCACAGAAGCGACGAGCTTCCCGCGGCGCCCTAAAGAACGAGTGAGAATTGGACAGATGGAAAAGATAATTGAGGATGAGCAGATAGACGAGCGAGGAGGGATTTTAGATGTGGGGAGGCAACGGAGGGAGACAGAAGACTAGAGGGACATCGCAGCCAGGTGTGCTGAGACGGACTCTGCGCTGACAGCAACCTATCCCAGCGTGGGTTCAGGTCAGTGGCAAAGCGATGTGAAGAAGCTTTCACAGTGACCTCTGGGTATTCACAGTGGAGGCCATCTGAGAGCTCTGTGCTTAAGCCTCAGCAGTCCAGCTGGCCAGGAAAGAAGTTTTCAGGCTTTCTCTCAGAACAAAACCGTGATTTCAGCATTTGGGAAGTTGAAGCAGGGGGATCACAGCAAGTTGAGGCTTGCCTGGGCGGCAGGGAGAGCAAGCACCTGCATTTAAAGGAGAAAGGGTGTAACTACAGTTTCTCCCAGACAGGGTTCTTGTTTTGCTTTGGAGACATGATCTCACTTTGTAGGTCAGGCTGGCCCTGAACTCACAGCAATCCTCCTGCCTCAGCCTCCCAAGTAATAATATTACAAGTATGAGCCACCGTGTCCAACTTTACAAGTTGTTTTATTGTATTATTTGTTTGTTGTTTGGGGCTTTCTTTTGTTTTGATTTGATTTGATTTTTTTGAGACAGGGTTTCTCTGTGTAGCCCTGGCTGTCTTGGAACTCACTCTGTAGACCAGGCTGGCCTCAACCTCACAGAGATCCACCTGCCTCTGCCTCCCCAGTGCTGAGATTAAGGCATGTGCAACCACCACGCAGCACATTTATCTATCTATCTATCAATCTATCTATCTATCTATCTATCTATCTATCTATCTATTATTTTTAAACAAAATCTAAAACCAAGAACCGAAATGTTTAGCATGAACTGAGGAATGTGATTCTCTTGGCAGGCTTTGGACTGAGAAATCTGACAACATAGAGGCCATTTAGGCTGGTCCTCAGGCTCAGGACAGAAGTAGTTCTGGTAGGAGCTAGGGGTGAGGCTCGGCGATGGAGGAGCGGCCTGCTCTGTGCACTGTGCCTGTTGTTCTGGGTTCCCTGTACCACAAAAGGGAAGGAGAGAGGGAGTTGAGAGAGGAAGGAAGGGAATGAGGGGGGAAGAGAGGAGGGAGGGGAGGAGGAGGAGGGACCCAAGCCCAGCAGCAGAGGAAAGAATGGGAAACTGGGACATAAGCAGCTCCCTGCTAGGGACCACCCACCACCCACGTCCACCCCAGGAATGCTCAGCCACCTCTCCAGATCCTTACTAATTGGGACCTGCTGTGATGGTTTGATAAAAATGTCCCCCATAAGTTCATCTATTTGAAGGCTTAGTCATCAGGGAGAGGTACAATTTGAGAAGGCTTAGGAGGTGTGGCCTTGTTAGAGGCAGTGTGACACTGGGGATGCGCTTTGAGGTTTCAAAAGCCTATGTCAGGCCCTCAAGGTTCAGGATGTAGCTCTTAACTACTGCTCCAGCACCAAACCTGCCTGCCTGCCGCCATGCTCCCTGCATGATGTGCCTGGACTAAGCCTCTGAAACCGTAAGCCAGCCCCAGTTAAATGTTTTCTTTGATAAGAGCCCCCATGGTCTTGGTGTCTCTTCACAGCGGCGGAACAGTGACTAAGACACCTGCCACCCTGTCAAGGAGCCAGAACAACTGATTCGATTGAACTTTTAAATAAGACTTTGTCATTTTTTTATGCAGGAAAAGAGGGAGGGCTCACCACAGTCCCAGTCCAGGTCCTTAGCACACTGAAAAACAGGTTTCCCCCAGGTTAAGTAAGTACCCTGTTCACAGACTGAAGCACCTGTACTCAGCAGAAGAGGGCTTCTGACACCTAGGAAAAGAAAGAAGAGTGTGGTAGGTTGTTGTTTGGCTCTTTGGTCTTTTTCGGGGGACAAGGGTGCCACGCACCTCCCAAATGAATCACACACAGGGGCTTATTATTACTTATGAATGCCTGGCCTTAGCTTGGCTTAGTTTCTAGCCAGCTTTCCTTATCTTAAATTACCGCCACTATCTTTGCCTCTAGACTTTCCTTTTCTCTAACTTCTGTAAATCTTACTCTTGCTCCGTGGCTTGCTGTGTAGCTGGGTAGCTGGCACCTGGAGTCCTCCTTCTTCTCTGGCTGCTAGATCTTAGACCGCCAACACTCTTCCCAGATTTCTCCTCCTGTTTATTCTCTCGGCCTGCCAGCCCTGCCTAGCCTTTCTCCTGCCTTGCTGTTAGCCAGTTCTTTATTAGACCATCAGGTGTTTTAGACAGGCACAGTAACACAGCTTCACAGAGTTAAACAAATGCAACATAAACAAAAGTAACACACTTTAAAATCTTCTACTACAGAAGAGAACTCACTTAGCAGAGATGTAAGGTGGACATTATAGTCCTCGGTCACCAAACCTCGGGAAGGGTCGTTTCAAAGCTCCCCTGTCCAGGATTTAACCATTAACACACTAGGAACCCATCAGTCCATTCAAATGCAGGGCTGTCTTGTGAGAGGGACATTGATTTCTTCAATACAGAGAGTCACGAGTGCTCGGCAAAGAGAACACTGGGACACACAGCCTTGCTCCTTAGAGAACTGAGAAAGTGAAGAGAAGGTTCCCAACGTCCCTACCTCCATACCTGCTGGGCTGCCTCTCCTAAAAATGTGTCCTGAGTGCTTGTCCTGCAGCTCTGATCCATATACAAAATGCTATAATATACTCCATGTTAAAACAACACAGAACCCCTCAGGAACGCACTTGAAACAATTCCGTCACATAATGCCATCACTTCTCAGTCCTTATATTGCTTGGCCTCAACATAGTTGGATGGTTTGGACCCTTCCTTCCTCCCCTGCAAACATTCACATCACTTGTAACGCATTTCCTTCCCTCACAACACACCTCAGCACCTTCCCTTGGAGTCCCTCTCCTTCCAACCCTCTAAACACCAGGTGATGGAGGCCTTCGTAATCCAACTCCCCTCTCCTCGGCGCTCACATCTTGCTGTAGTTAGTCCCATAGCATGCGTTAAAAAGCATCTGTGTCCAAGCCAAGCAGTGGTGGCGCACGCCTTTAATCCCAGGCAGACTGATCTCTGTGAGTTCGAGGCCAGCCTGGTCTACAAACTGAGTTCCAGGACAGCCAAAGCTACACAGAGAAACCCTGTCTCAAAAATCCAAAACAAAACAAAACAAAAAAGCAAAAAGCATTCACATCCATTTCCAAAATTAGGTTTCTTGCCTTTTTGTGGGGGTGGGGGGTGGGGTGGGGAGCAGCATTGCCAGGGTCATGCTAGGGTCATGCTAAGCCTGGTCACCACTGAATTCAACCCTCAGCCCTCAATCTTCCCAGTGCTCTTCACTTGCACAACCTCCTAACTGCCGTTCACATCACCAAAACATCTGCCCTAAACCAAACATTTAATATTTTTCCTAGCCCGGCAGTGGTGGTGCACGCCTTTAATCCCAGGCAGAGGCAGGTGGATCTCTGTGAGTTCAAGGCCAGTCTGGTCTACAGAATGGGTTCCAGGACAGCAAGGGCTGTTACACAGAGAAACCCTGTCTCGAAAAACCATAAATTAATAATAATAATAATAATAATAATAATATTATTATTATTATTCCTAACAAACTGTCCCTTTCATGGACTTCCCTATTTCTCCAGTTCAAGTACACAGTGAAGGGAGCAAACAAAAACACCTTGGCCTGAGTACTGCCATTTTGACTTCAGACTCCATTTTACCTATAAGGGGAAAATAAAGTTCAGGTTCCCAAGCCCTAGGGTGGCTGAGAACTTTCCAATGACTGACCAACCTCCTCCCTAAACCATAGAAACAGTCGTTATACATCTTCAGTTCTCTAGAAACATGGTTGTTCCTAACAACAAAAGGAACAAGTGAATCTGATTGGCTGGACTGAAAAGCATGTATTGTATGTCAGTTGACGATGACGGAACACACAAGGGAAGTCCCTAATCTTTGATTTCTGATTGGTGAAAACTGTAACTGTAACTTGGCAACAAATATGATTTTTGTGCTTATAAACCCCGCTTCTGCCCCTGCTCAGGGTTGTCAGGAGAAACAAGGCTCCCAATTCCTGTCCTGCAGCCCTGTTCGATCAGTGAACCGCGTCATGTGGTGAAGTCTCTCTCCTTCCTCGTGGCGTATAACGGACTAGGTGTAACAACAGAAATTCTGCCTAATTATTCAGGCCAAGGATATTGTGATTGGCCAGAAGTCGTCTGTTTCTCTCACACTGAACATACATCCACTGCAGAAGCAAAACAAAACTGTTTTCAAAATATATCCAGAATTCAGTCAGATGTGGAAAGCGGAAGGATCACTGCAAGTTTGAGGCCAGCCTGGTCTATCTACAGAGCGAGTTCCAGTCCAGCCAAGGCTACACAGTGAGACCTTGATTTTATATATAAAATCTTTAGCCAGGCAGGTGGTGGTGCACGCCTTTAATCCCAGCACTCAGGAGGCAGAGGCAGCGAGTTCCAGGACTGTTACATAGAGAAACCTTGTCTCGAGAAGAGAAAAAAAACAAAAAATTTTTTTAACTTTGATTGGGCTTACTGTTGTAGTTGCTTGTCAAACCATAATGTAAGGACTAAGACATAACCGGTGGATCTGGCCAAGTGGAAGTCATGGGCCACCTTCACGAAGTTGCTGTCACTGGAGTGGGAGGTCCGGCTGAGCCGCATCCTGACTGGCTCCACTCTGTAGGGACTCCTGTAAGCTCCTCCTCCTCAATCCCCCAACTACTCCGCCACGAAAGTCCCCATTCCGAGCCTTTACATGTCTGTCGTTCCTTCCACTCGAACCACCCTTCCTTCAGACGGTCACGTGTCCCTGTTCCTCCAGAATTCTGTAAAATGAGCTTCTGCTATAATTAAGCTATTTTAAATAGTAGCCCCTCCCCCTCGATCTCCCTCTTTTTCGCTATGTCCCTTCACGGTGTCACTATCTGAATGTACCCGGACTTCTCTCCACTCACGAAAGCTCTGTGAGGACAGGGCTTTGTTTTGACACCACTGCCACATCACACAAAGCCGTCTGACAAGCCCTGGGCATTCGGTTAACATCTATTCGATTAACCGTCTGGGACTGGAACGCCCAAGGCTACCACCCAAGAACGGGAGCGCACCCGCAACCTCAGGACTTGCGCGGTAGAGCTGCCGCGCGTTCCAGCGCCTCCTTCCCCGCTCCAACGCCCCTTTCTTAGGAGACATACGGTAGGGCTTCCGCCCGGGTTCAACCCTCACTCCAATCCCGGGAAGGAGGGGCGGAGGGTTATGTCATCCTTCCGCGCCGGCCTGCCCCGCGACGCGCCGGCGGCTGGCGCAGCCCTTCGCTCGCCCGGCCTCCTCCCCCTCCCTGGTTCCGCGCTCGGGTTCCGCCATGGAATCCAACAAGGATGAAGCCGAGCGCTGTATCAGCATCGCCCTCAAGGCCATCCAAAGCAACCAGCCCGAGCGGGCGCTGCGCTTCCTGGAGAAGGCGCAGCGGCTGTACCCGACGCCACGAGTCAGCGGTGAGTGGGAGGCGCCGCGGGGACCGAGGGGGACATTAGCACGGATGGGGGGAACACGGGAACGGACCGACGGGAGCAGTTGGCGGAGGGGGGAGGGGTGGCGAGGCGCGGCTACGCCTGCGCACTGGTGCGCGCGGGCGCTGCTGGGATTCGTAGTCCCGCGGTCTGGCGCCTCGGTGGGATGCTGGACCCCTGGGGACCTCCGAGGGCCTGGCTCTCAGGCCTTTCCAGTGCTCGAGGAACCCTCTGGTGTAGGAGGTTTCTGGGAAGGAGACGCGCTGGGAGAGCAGGCGAAGAGAACTCGCGTGAAAGCGAAAGCGAACTACTTTTCCCAGGGGGCTGTTGGGTGGCTCAGGGCCAGTGGCCGGCCTGGGAAATATTATAGTTCAGGAAAATAAACATAACTATTCTAAGGGAGAATGGGTTCTACGGGGAAGGAATTCCTAGAAAGACAGCGTCGGATCTTCATTCGTTCGAATCAGAGAACCCTTCGCGAAATAAGCCACTCCACCTGCGAGTACTCCTGCAGTCTCTTGAACGCCGGATTTCGGGGTGGATGGATTGTTGAAGATCCCAGGCTCAGCCTCCCCATCCCACCTTCGTCCCCAACAGGCCTGGGTGGCGGGTCTTATGGACTGCTACGGCTGCTGAGTACCAGGCAGCTCAGTAGCCTAGGGCTGAGATCTCCCAAACCAAGGAGGGAATAGTGAGCTTGTCTCTGCTACCCATGGCCTCACTTGACTTGGTCGTCTCTATTATTATTATTTTGTTTTTTTTCGAGACAGGGTTCCTCTGTGTAACAGCTCAGGCTTTCCTGGAACACTCTTTGTAGACCAGGCTGGCCTTGAACTCACAGAGATCCGCTTCCCTCTGCCTCCCGGGTGTTGGGATTAAAGGTGTGGGTCACCACCGGCCGGCTGTCCTCTCCTTTTTTTGTGTCTGTAATCTAAGTTCCCAAAGAAATTTAATACCGTCCGGAAGGAGAAAAGCACAGGGTTTGTGCCAGTGGACTTAGTAAACTCTGACGTGTAGCCAATGTTCAGAGTTAAGAGACCCAGTCTCATCAGGATTGCTGCCATGTGACATTTCTTCTGAACTCGGGTTTCCTCATCTGCGAGGGAGCTGGAGCAGAAAATGTGAATGACAGGAATACCCATAAAGCTTTTCAGTGTAGAAAGTTCCTGCCCATGTGTTTGTCATGAAGACAGCGCCATCCTTATATCTTCTGTAGATGAGAACTATCTCAGCAATAAGGGACTCAAGATATGACACAGCTAGAATTTGGAAAGCCCTGAGACACCATACATGTTTATTAAAATGACAGGAAGAGCCTGCCTCTCACCTTCCCTGCCCACCTTTGGAAATGGAGAAAGGAGTGCTGGCCGACCAGGCGGCCGAATTCGTGAACTTTCCTCCCTCCCGACTCTGCAGGTTGATCTTTGGCCTGTGTGCCTCCTCTAGGAGAGGGTTTCGGTTGTATTTACCAGGACTGTAAATACCAGTAACTTGCTCAAGGTGCTTCCCTTTGGGATAATTCCATCTCTATAAATGGGGAGCACGGTGGGGTGCAAGCTGTCAGAATTCCGTCTGACTGCTGCTGGGAGCTAAGGAGCAGTTAAGAAAGCCGACGAAGTAGGGCCTGTGGGGCACGGCAGAAGCCACCTGGGCTAGTTCAGGAACTTGGACAAGGTGTCCTTCCAGGGCTTGCTGTGTGTGTGTGTGTGTGTGTGTGTGTGTGTGTGTGTGTGTGTGTGTGTGTGTGGTGTGGTGTGGTGTGGTGTGGTGTGGTGTGTTTTCTTCACTCACTCTTGTGGAGGTCGGAAATAACTTGTTGAAGTCAGAGTCAGTTGTGTCCTTCCATCTGCGGGTCCCAGGGATCGAACTCGGGTAGTTGGGCCTGGCAGTAGGTACCTTCACTGTCTAAGCCGTCTCACAGGCCCACCTGTTGGACATTTGGTATGTCTTTGCTGGATAGAATATATGCCTCGTGTGTATAAACTAACAGCAGCCTTGCACTGAACTGACAAGAATGTAAGGCGAATTTAGGCCTGGGCTAGGGAAATGTTGATTAAAAAATATTAGGTGGCTGTCTACACTGCATGTTTTGGATAGGAGTTCATTCCGGTGCAACAGGTCGTTACAGGTGTGGTGGCCCATGCCTGTGATCTCTGAGCTCAGGAGGCTGAGGCAGAGAATTGCCTCAAGTGTGAGGGCAGCTGGGCTACATAGCAAGACCTTGTCTTTAAAAAAAAGGTAGCCGATGTTGAGAACCTATTTTGTTTGGCCTGCAAAGTTCACTCCTTGATGCCAAGTAGTTCAGCAGGATTGGCAAGATCCGAAAGGAAGCAAACTTCAGAGAAAAAGGACTGCAAGACAGGTGATAACCGTGATTTAACAGAAAAATAGGCACGCTTGTTTAGATGCTGAGGACTTAAGGGCAGTTATGAAAATTCCAGTCCCTACCACCTGTGAGTTCACAGTTTTGGGGGAAGGGAGGGTGTGGAGGATAATCTCCTGACCATTACATTATAAGCTATTGGGAGCACTGTAATGAGGGCACACAAATAATGTTATCTCACAGAGGGAAGGGCTACAGGCTGTAAGAAATGAAGCAACAATCAGCCAGGCGGTGGTGGTGCAAGCCTTTAATCCCAGCACTTGGGAGGCAGAGGCCGGTGGATCTGAGTTCTACTCAAGGCCAGCCTGGGCTACAGAGAAGTTCCAGGATAGCCAGGGCTGCAAAGAGAAACCCTGTCTTGAAGGGGGAAAAAAAGAAGAAAGGGAGAAAGAAAGAAATTAGGTAACATTCAAACCTCATTTTGTTGGAAGGGACAGGAAAGGCATTCTGGGAGAAGACCTGGAGGCTGGAAGTTGAAAAGATTTGGGCAGAGATTGTGTATATGGAGATTTAGAGGCAAGTGAAGTGGGAATTTATATAGAGGATTCAAGTTAGAAAGTGAAATGGGGCCAGACTGTGGAACTCCTCCTTTCCTGCTAGACCAAGGTTTTTCACTCTCTTCTGTATAGAGGGAACCAGAGAGGTTTGGTTTGTTGGGAGAGGCAGCTGAGTCGGTCACACCCTCCACGTACACTTGGAAGGTAGAGTACCAGGCTAACAAAGCTAGCATAGGCTATGTAGCCAGTTGGAGTTCACAGTTAGCCTGGGCTAGAAGAGATAAAAAGGGAGAGGAATAATTTTCTTAAAGAAAACATCATGAAGCCAGGTATGGCGGTGCGTGCCTATAATGAGAAGGTTGAGGCAGTAGATTGTTTGAGGCCAGCCTGGACTGTATCATAGTGAGACTCTGTCTCCAAAAAAAAAAACAACAAAAAAACAAAAAACAGTGAGCCAGAAAAGGGGAAGGAGAGAGAGAGAGAGAAAATGGCCTAAAAGATTGATGAGAGGGACAGTGACCCCAAATAAGTTAGGGCAGGATGACATCAGGAGGGATGCAGAAATGAAGAGCCATCGTGTGATGATGATGATGATGATGATGGACAAAATGGATGGATGCTGGGGAATTGGGGTCCACTTTTATGACCTGAAAAGGCCCAAGCCAAAAGAAACTAGATGGGAAGAAGTGGACAGAATGGGAAGTGCCTGTGGAACATTCTTGGGGGGCCACCAGCCTAGAGCCCAGGAGAAAGCCCCAGGTTCCAGCTGAAAGGCTGTTGTCACCGGTTTGTTGACCCTCCTTGGAAATGAGCACAGCTGAGGTCACTGTGGGAAAGTGGGGACATGGAGAAGCCGTTGCCCGGTAGACAGCCGTGTATCACACCTGCCCTTAGCCAGTGGGAGTGGGACAGAGCAGCAAGAGGACAGAGCCCTGGCAGGGGACGGAGGCTGTCGCCATGGAGCCATGGAGTTGTCTGGTACTGCAGAGGCCATGGGAGAAAGGGACGAGTCGAAGATTAGATGGGAAAGGGTGGAGGGCCGAAGTAGAGGCGTTGGTCTGCGAGAGGTAAAGGGCGGGTGAAGGGAGAGGTCAGCTAAGGGGCTCAAACAAGAGTTGAAGACACTCCAGTGTTAGCTTTCACTGTGGAAAGGAGGAGAGGGGCTTGCAGCTCCTGTGGGGGGGCAGGGCAGGGAAACACCAGGACCGGACAGCCGCACTGTGGGACAGGAACAGGACTGCTGGGAGCCACAGCAGAACTGACGCCGTCATTGTCTTTTTCTGGGAGTTTCTTTTTTAAAAAAGGTCTCATTCAAAAGCCTGGCCTGGAACTCTCTCTGTAGACCAGGCTGACCTGAAACTCAAAGATCTGGCTGCCTCTGCCTCCCGAGTGCTGGGATTAAAGGCATGTGCTACCGTGTCCAACTTTTTTTTCTAGGATGCTCTGTCCAGCATCTGTCGACCTGACGGTCACTGGCTTCACCTGATACTTAGTGAAAGAACTGGGCATGGTGGGGACATGGTGGCATACATCTGTAAACACAGCACTTGGGCAGTAGACAGGGAACAAGAGGATCTTACATTCCAAGTCAGCTTGGACTATATAGTGAGAATCTGTCTCAAAGAAAATAAAAGATAACAAAGGGCTTGAGAATATAATTAGGCCTCAGTTTCCCTAGCAAAGAGAGAGTTGGCTGGATGAGGTACCTGCAGCTCATATTACCCATGCTTCTGTGAAGTGGCTCAGTCTGGGGTCTGAACAGA